CCTCAGGGAAACTGCAGCAGGAGAGCAGGGAATCAAACCTGCAACCTGTTGAGAGAAAAGTTTTGTCAGCTCAGAGTGTAAAAGCTCTTCTCAGATTTTAATCCCAGCTCTCCTCTGAGCACCTGCTGCCTCAGGTGAGCTCCACCTGAGCCTCCATCACGCTGCAGGAGCCCAGAGACGCTCTGACAGGATATCAACTTAATGAAACAACAAAGAGCTGCGTGTCGGGGGCTGCAGGGGGCTGCAGGGGGCTGCAGGGGGCTGAGCAGGGTGAGAAAGCCAGAGACGGTGGGGAAATCTGGGCAGCAGGTTTTATGAGTGCTGCAGCCCGTGGGAAGTGTTTTAATTTAATTTAAATCCTCGTGTAAAGCACGAGTGAGCTTTTCAGGTGCTGCAAGGTGCCTCTCAAAGTTATTAGCATACATGTGTTAACACCAGCCTCCCTGACATCGTTATTACTTTTAACTTCAGCTTGTCCGTCAGAAAACAAAAATCTGTTAACGTTTTATTGTTTCAAAACATTTAGCATCATATTAAAGTGTTAAAGAGCTGTTTTCCAGCTGAAACACCTGTCTGCACTGCCAGGGAGTCAAACGGTTCTCCCTTCGTCCAAAGAAGGACATGTCGGCTAAACTCAAGTGTCCTGCTCAGACCTCAGCTTTTAGCTTCTCTTCTGCTAATATTAGCTGGTGTTTTGTTCATTTTAGCTTCTGTTCTGCTGCTTTTAGCTTGTATTTTTTATTTTAGCTTATGTTCACAGCTTTTAGCTTGTGTTTTTCTCATTTTAACTTCTGTTCACAGATTTTAGCTTGTATTTTTCTAATTTTAGCTTCTGTTCACAGATTTTAACTTGTGTTTTTCTCATTTTAGCTTCTGTTGACAGATTTTAGCTTGTATTTTTCTCAGTTTAGCTTCTGTTCACAGATTTTAGCTTGTATTTTTCTCATCCTAGCTTCTGTTCACAGATTTTAGCTTGTATTTTTCTAATTTTAGCTTCTGTTCACAGATTTTAGCTTGTATTTTTCTAATTTTAGCTTCTGTTCACAGATTTTAGCTTGTATTTTTCTAATTTTAGCTTCTGTTCACAG